CTGGAGGACATTACACAAGACTGTATTTGCTGCAAAGTGACAGAAAAGGGACCAGGCAGTCATTCACAACAGAAACTGAGTAAGCGAAACGGCGCAAACGGCAAGAAAGAGCTTTCATCACCCAACACAGCAAGGACTATGCACCTGGTATCTGTGCAGATGGTGACTGAAAGTGTTTTTTTACTATTATTGTATATCTATGATAGCAATGATTAAAGAATTCTTGTATTTATTTCTCAAATATTTATGTTTTACCCTTGAAATTGGCAAGTAAATCTTTGTTTGCTTGAAATTTTCACAGTGTAATCCTCACATTGTTTTTGCAAATCTGAGCTACAGATAGCTTTGCATGTTACAGGGCTTCAAATTATGGTTAATTTTGTAAGCAGTTTGCCGCGAAAATTTGCTTGACGGCACACAAAAAAAAAAAAAAAAAAAAAAAAATGATGTCATTCTAGTTCTGATTCTTGCTAAACATGTCTTAACTGCACTTGCAAAGTCTCAAGTCTACAGGTATTGCCAGTTTCTTGTTTCACACTTTGCCTTGGTCAAATAATGAGCATCTACCATCTTTGATCACGTGACCAATTAACTTAATTTGCATAATTAATTGTTTTTCTGACACTTGATAGTCATGTGTTCAATTAGTAAAAAGATTTTTTGATCTAATTTGCATAATTAATTGTTTTTCTGACACTTGATAGTCATGTGTTCAATTAGTAAAAAGATTTTTTTGAATGCCTCTAAAAATGTGGAAAAAAATTGGATTGAAACTGCCCTTAATAGTCCTGTTTAGTATCTCTGAACCTATGTGAATTATACATAGTACATATCAGAAGTATTTTGGACACAGGTTGAAATGAAGCTTTAGTAGATGATACGTTAAATCTCAAATACAAAAATAAAAGGAAGTTATAAGAGACAAAAAATGCAATAACGGACATGAAAAGCTTCGAAATACTAAAAGAAAGAAGATGCAAAATGATGTCATTTCCTGCTTAGGCCATACAACACACTGATTAAGAAAAATGGACCACAGGGGGCTTAGTCTGTTGAATATATGAGTTAGGCCTAAATTTGTGCAGAGAGATCTTCGGGTTATCCAGTTAAATATAAACATGTTGCATTTAAACAATAGATCAGCAGGTAGATATAGAAATGGATAGATAGATATATAGATAGATAGACAGAGAGAGAGAGAGAGAGAGAGAGAGAGAGAGAGAGAGAGAGAGAGAGAGAGAGAGAGAGAGAGAGAGAGAGAGAGAGAGAGAGAGAGAAAGGGGGGGGGGGAACTGAAAGTAAGATGAGACAGCGAGCGCTCATGTGAAAAAACACTTATCAAAGTACATCTAGAAAACAACATATACAAGGGTTTTGTGACTGTCCATTGCAGTAACCATCAGTGACTCTGTCTTGATCATTTGCAAGTACTCATTAACAGATGACAATCTAGATGTAATACTTTTGCAAAATCCATATTTTGGTGGCTGTTAATACTTCTCCCGAGCTTCCGTTGTTTATTATTCATGTATCTATTTTATCTTACCTTCTGCAATTGATGCATAGCGTGTCCTGCGTGTCACGAATACTCTGTAGCCAACATTTAATTTGTACTGTAAAGAATGGAATGAGAGTCTGTGCGTGTGCCCTTGATAATAAGCATGTGTTTGCGTTCGTTTATGTTTTACAATTCACTCAGTTCATGCAATGCAATTGTTTTTGGAAGCAAAATATATTACAGAGCTGTGTTTAGCTTCTCCATCAATCTACATACCTACAGCCTATGTCTCCCTTTCTCTATATATGTATCTGACTGTCTATATCTCTCGCATTTTATTCTTTCTTTGTTCCCCCTTTTTACTGTGTCCAACTGTCCGCTTTGTACACAGCCTCCTGTATAATAGGTCCATTAATTGGGGGCCGTTCTACGCTTCTCTCTTGGTCTTTGGTCTCTCTTGTTTCATAGGTCTTGTTATCTGACACCCCTGTAGTATGGTTCGTTTACCGATCTCTTTGTTTTTTTTTCATCATGTCCCTTACCTTGGTGTTGTATTTGATTCCTTTGATTTTATATTTCCCTTTCGTCTCGGTCTTCTTTTCATAGCTCTTTATGGCACTTGTAATATTTTGTTGGTGATACTCCATGTTTCACCCCTAGTTCACCCCTAGACGGTAGGATGCACTGAGAAAATTCTCTTTTCTAAGACAGGTGGATGTTTTCTCATTGGTTGAAATATCAGCATGTTTGTGAAACCTTGGCCATATCTTTTGCCCTGTGCATTTTTAATGTGTGTGTGTGTGTGCATGTGTGTGAGTCTATTCAGCTCACTCATCTTTTTGATTGGACCGGTGAGGGTATAAAATGTTTTATAGCTATACCAAAGTATGATATGAGAAAGGGACACACATACAGAATGAGAGAGAGAGAGAGATAGATAGATAGAGAGAGAGAGAGAGAGAGAGAGAGAGAGAGAGAGAGAGAGAGAGAGAGAGGGAGAGAGAGAGAGAGAGAGAGAGAGAGAGAGAGAGAGAGAGAGAGAGAGAGAGAGAGAGAGAGAGAGAGAGAGAGAGAAAGAGAGAGAGAGAGAAACTTCCTAGACATGGGCGTGGATACCGTGGACTGGGAGTAACGCGGAAACACCACTCCAGAATCGCCTGCCTCTTCATGTCCGTTGTCGGTTGGTGATAAGCTCCTACAGCAGAACCTCTATTGCCTTAGGTAAAGGTGTTGAACTGCTTGTAAATTAGTTCGCTGGTTGCTAAACTAATCTAGAAAACAAAGATATTCTTTGTATATGGCTCGAAGAGTATCTGCTGGGATTATATCTCCTTGTACTTATACTGAAATACTTTGTTAGAAAGCCATAGTAATGAATGTGTAATAATGATAGTGCATAGCAGTATAATTGAAATCAGCGCGTGCCATTTACGTTTATTTGTTATCTCTACCGTTTATCTCAAGCTGTCCCATAGCAAGCTGCATTCGTAAGAAGGTCCTCCTCCCTTTTCGTGTTTTTTTTTATGAAGTAGCTTGTATTTTCATTCCATTCTGATTGTCGAATCGTAAAACAAGTAGGTAGAGAAAACTAGCACTCACCAACTCTTTTATCGTTTTTAATTTCATTATGGCTACTGTTGTTGCCATAATTATCATCAATGTTGATTTCATTAATGATAATTAATGAAATGATCATAGGAATAACAGGAACAGGGAGGAAATGCAGGAAAACAGGAAACTATTTATTCCCTTCCTTCCCCTATCCCACTTTATCGTTCTCCCTCCCCCATTCCTTTTATAAGTCATCTATTACTATTACGCATCTATTACTCTCCCCACTACCCAGGCACGCCACTGGCTTCCTCCGCTTGCGCATGAGACGACTTGCAAGGATATTAATGATATAATGACATGCATGATTAACGGTGAAAGTACTAATGGTGATTTCCATAAAGCTAAATATTTACTATCATTAAGAAACTGGAATTCTTATTCTTCTCGTCAGATATGTTCACATGAACAACACGTGTATTTCTAATAATACTTGCCCCATTCATGAACACATGGGAACCTACATACAGTGGGTCGCCACATAATAATGACAGTAACGATAATGATAATAATTGTGTGTGCATATATATATATATATATATATATATATATATATATATATATATATATATATATATATATGTATATGTATATATATATATATATATATATATATATATATATATATATATATATATGTATATATTTATTTATATATTTATTTATTTATATATGTATGTATGTATGTATATGAACTTATATATATATATATATATATATATATATATATATATATATATATATATATATATATATATACACACACACACACACACACACACACACACATATATATATATAAACACACATATATATATATATATATATATATATATATATATATATATATATATATATATATATATATATATGTATATATATATATGAGATATATATATATATATATATATATATATATATATATATATATATATATATATATATGATATATATATATATATATATATACATATATATATATATATATATATATATATATATATATATATATATATATATATATATATATAAGTTCATATACATAAAAAGCCCGTTATCAATACAAAAAATGCAAGAAATCTGAAGAACCCTGCTGTAAAAAACATACAGATAAACATCTCTAATCACGATGACAGTTTATTATACCAATCTTTTGAAATGCTCTGAAATGAGACCTCTATTATCGCTTGTATTATAATTTGTTTAAGCAGTACTCAGGGATTTCTTCCTTAAGTTCAATATGAAATCGCTGTATCTCTATTGTGGACCAGTAGTAGGAAGTCAGGTCAGGAACTAATGGAAACGGAGATTATATAAGGCTATAGTAACTTTATTCTTTAGTCTGCTGTATCTATTTTTCTTTCTCCGTCTACGTTTAGAACCTCTAGGAGGTACTACTTTTGCTCCTATATCTGTTATGCCATTTTGTATTATCGCAATGTCATTTAAGTGTTTGTTGAACCACTGATCTTAGTTTACATTGATATTATCTAAAGTGCAATTCTTACTATTTGATATTCGTTACATCTTTTCTTTTCATATATTGTCATCAGTTATCATTTATTCAGTAATATATCTAGAATTTGGTTATTGTTCCTATTAATCTGCCCATCTGCGATGTTCCTTTTAATCACATCTTTAGCCTGTGGAGGATCTTTTAATGTTTCTTTTATATTTCTGTATCTTATATTTCAGCATCTTTCGTGATTAAGGCTATTGCACCGGTTGCTGATAACATATTAAGATTATATGGTTTTCTTATATTCACCCTTAACATCTTTGAAATGGTGTCTCTGCTGTATCTTACAAACAGCAACAGCTGTTATCATTCCGGGAAAATGCCAATCTGGCAACTCCATCGCTCTAGAAGAGGAAATATTCATTGGCTTGTTCACAGTCTCAGGCACCATTTAAAGTTAAACTTCGATGCTCTAAAGCATGTTATCTTGATATATGATAGCCGGTCATATACAGTCGCTCTTCAGTAGCTCGAATTAATAAAAGGAGAGAGAAAAAAACAAGTTTAGCAGAAATACAACTTTTGGCAATGGATGCCATGAGTGCTGTGTCCTGGTCGACGGGGCAGTAGTACATTGTGTCGGTTCGGATTGTGAACGCCTTCATCTTATTTCGGCAAGTAAATCTTAGTATTGTTTGTCTCCTTCAGTTAGAACTATAATATTGTGCCTATTTTATTAGATGTGCGTTGTAGCATTCGTAGTATGGATGATTTCCAAATTTGATTTACAGGATCTAGTACTTAACAGAATCATGGTGCGATAAAATTACGTTGTGCAGAGTCCTTCAAGCACGTATGTACTGAATACACATACGGGCCTAATTCATGGACACATGCCAAGCAATAACAAGAGAGGAGGGGGGGGGATAAAGGAAAGAGAAAGAAAAAAGAAAGAAAGAAAGAGTGTGTACTTACGGTATATATATGCACGCACGCACGCGCGCACACACACACACACACACACACACACACACACACACACACACACACACACACACACACACACACACACACACACACACACACACACACACACACATTTTTTTCAACAGCCATTTACTCCACTGCAGGACATGGGCCTCTCTCAATTCACTATTGAGAAGTTATTTGACAATGCCACCCTTGTCTGATTGGATGTCCTTCCTAATCGACCGCGGTTCGGCGCGCTAACACTTGTACCACGGCGCCGACTTTCCCTACGACATCTGCGTTAGAATTATCAAGGAGATATGTTGTTTTTCTCGCCTTGTGCCAGCAATCGGAGAGCAGGCATACACATATGTAGTTATATGTAGGCGTTTATGCATGTGTAGACGAATACCGTGATGCTCATTTGCATATGGCCTTGGACAAAAAATTGCACGCGTCACGATGTTACATCTTTAGGCTTCGTATTAAATTTAGCCTTTTGTATTAAGTTTCTGCTTTACTTTCCTCTGCTTGTTTATTCATATGTGTATTATGCATATGATTTTGATGACAGTTATTATTGTTGTTATTTTTACTATTATGAACAGCATCATCATTATTATTATTATTGTTATTAATGTTATTACTATTACTATTAATATTATTGTTATTATCAGTATGCGTGTCATATCACTATTGTTATTATTGATTGTGTCGCACACTGTCTTTGTCAGTGGTGATAACAGCTTGAAACTTGGTGTCAACAAGACTCCTCAAATTTCAAGCACTTTGCGGAGGATCCTTGCAGAGTGGATGATAACAGTTTTCTAGGTGCACTTGGGACAACCCCAAAGAAACTTTCCAAAAGATTAGATGACCTTGGAATAGGAACACGAATTGTTGAACTGCAGAAAAATTATTATTATTATTATTATTATTATTATTATTATTATTATTATTATTATTATTATTATATTACTTTTACTATTATTGTTATTATCATTATTATTATTATCATTATTATTATTATCATTATCATTATCATTATCATTATTATTATTATTATTATTATTATTATTATTATTATTATTATCATCATTATTATTATTACTGCTATTATTACTATTATTATTATTATTATTATTATTATTATTATTACTGTTATTATTATTATTATTATTATCATTATTATTATTATTATTATTATTATTATTATTATTATTATTATTATTATTATTATTATTATTATTATTATTATTATTATTATTAATTATTATTATTATTATTAATATTACTACTACTACTACTGCTACTACTACTACTACTACTACTACTACTACTACTACTACTACTACTACTGCTACTGCTACTACTACTACTACTACTACTCTTAGGTAGTCCGTCGATTTCGTCGATGACGTCAACACTATAGTACAACTCAGCGGTTATGGACCCGAAGATGGCTGTGAAGTCCTATGCGAGAACGACAAATTCGTTCACAGTGGTGGCATGGAAATTGTCCTGGACCAGCAGCTGCTGCAGTCTTTCTTTTGTCCCGAAGTTCGAGCTGATGTTCAGTTCTACTCATTTCAAATGTGTCTTTGGCAAGACCAATCAGGGATCTCCACTTCACTCGATCCTGCGCTGCCTCTTCAAGATGTTCGGGGGCTAGGCCTGCATGTGACAGGTGGACTTTCTCACAGTCCTTGTATCTCTTTCTGGGTCTCCCATGTTCTCTCCTGCCTTGGGCCATGGCTCCATAAAGGATTTGCCTCGGGATGCAGTTCTCATTCATGCGGATGATGTGGCCGGTCCAACGAAGTTGGCTCTTGAGGATCATATCTTCGATGCTGGTAGAGTTGGCTCTTTCCAGGACCTGTATGTTTGAGACTCTGTCCTGCCATCGAATGCCTAGAATTGAGTTGAGGCCTTTGGTGTGGAATTTTTCTAGTAGTTTCAGGTGGCGCCTATGCAGAGTCCGGGTCTAACATCCATAAAGGAGGCTGGTGAGGACAATGGCTTGGTAAATCTGGAGCTTAGTCGAGAGCTTGATGCTGTGCTGGGAGAGGATACGGATTTTGAGTCGTCCAAGGGCTTGACTGGCCTTGCTGATTCTGGAGTTGATCTCCTTATCAAAAGAGCCATCGTTGCCTATGACACTGCCAAGATATTTGAAGTCCTCCACAGTCTTCAGCTGGGTGCCTTCGATGGTGATATTTGGAAGTGTTGCTGTAGTTGATTGGTACAGGACCTCTGTTTTTGGCAAGCTTATTGTGAGGCCAAAGAGCCGTGCCGCTTGTGAAAACTGATCCACAATGAACTGTAGGTCTTCCTCTGTGTGAGCCATGAGGGCACAGTCATCAGCGAACAGAGCCTCAACTAGTGTTGCTGTAGGTGTTGCTGTAGTTGATTGGTACAGGACCTCTGTTTTTGGCAAGCTTATTGTGAGGCCAAAGAGCCGTGCCGCTTGTGAAAACTGATCCACAATGAACTGTAGGTCTTCCTCTGTGTGAACCATGAGGGCACAGTCATCAGCAAACAGAGCCTCAACTAGTAATCTCTCTCTTGTTTTGGTCTTGGCATTCAGCCGCATGAGATTAAACAGTGAGCCGTCAAGACGGTACTTTAGGTAGATGCCACGGTCGATGTTTTTGGTGGCATGTTCCAGCAACGAGGAGAAAAACAGGTTGAAGAGAACCGGTGCCAATACACAGTCCTGTTTCACACCGTTTGTGATGCTGAAGGACTCTGAATATTCTCCACTAGACAGAACCGTGCCGGTCATACCGTCGTGGAAGAGGCGGATCATGTAGGTGAATTTCCTTGGGCAACCTAGTCTAGCTAGGATCACCCAGAGAGCTCTGTCGACCGTATGAAAGGCCTTGGTAAGGTCAATGAATACAGCGTAAAAGTCCAGGTTCTGCTCGATACATTTCTCCTGTACTTGCCGGACGGTGAATACCATGTCTGTGGTGCTGCTGTTTGGACGGAAAGGGCAAGGTGTTTTCAGATTTCAGATATCTGTGTGATGAGTCAGTTGAGGATCACCCTGGCTAGGATTTTTCCACCGATTGACAGGAGAGAGAGGCCGCGATAATTACCACATTCCATTTTGCTGCCTTTGCCTTTGTACAGAGGCACAACGGTGGCATCTCTGAATTCATTTGGCAGGTCCTCCTGATCCCAGGTGTCAGTAATAAGGCCATGGAATGCATTGAATTGATACTGCTTTGTATAGTTCTGTGGGTATTCCATCCATCCCAGATGCCTTTCCAGTGCTACTGCTACTACTAGTACTACTACTACTACTACTACTAATATTATTATTATTATTGTTATTATATTTTTAGCTTGGGGTCATACAGAGTATACATTGAAAAACATATACAAAAGACTATAACACCACATGCTGAAACAATGAAGGTTAAGAAGCGATCAAAACACAGCAATGGACAGAAACACGTAGCCATATGCAGAAATAGATAATGAGACATCCAAATAGACAATGAGTTTGAGTGACCATTGCCTGCGTATAAACGACAGAACATGCGCATCATTGATCCTTATACTATTGATAACATCAGCCACCTCAGCCTAACTACCCATAGTGGTATGTGCTAGTGAACTCCTCGCCTTTACGAATGATTTGACACACAAACTTATGCCCAGTGCTAAGGCCATAAAGGGGAGGGTGAATAATCATGTTTTAAAATTTTAAAGAATAAAAGGAAATATTGAGATTTTGACGTAGGAATTTTATCTGAAATACATTATAGTCTAATGGATGTTTTGCCTCTAGGCGCTCAGACTGGTTGACGAGAGGAGTCCTATGGAATAAGGAAGACAATAGGAGAGGCGAGGTTCGTTCAGGCTAAGTAAGGATAGGACTGCGTACACACACACACACGCGCGCACACACACACACACACACACACACACACACACACACACACACACACACACACACACACACACACACACACACACACACACACACACACACACACTGTTCGTGTTCCCTTAACTACATCAAAGGGAACACGAGTTCGAAATGATACTATATTTTCCTCCTAAGGCAGAATGCTTAACCTACGATAATGGATTTAAAGAATATGTGCATTATAAGTACAAATTGGTTGTAAGGCGATATATTGCACGCTAGATATATGTAGCCGGCGTGTATATATGTATATGCATTTATATATGTATAGACCTGTAACGCCTGCTGCCACACCCAGCAGAGTCCCTTGCAACAATGAGCATCCTAGGCCTGGCGCGGAGGGCGGTCCGCGTGGAGAGAGGTATCGGTCTCCGGCTGCTGGCGAGGGCGACGTCGACCTCCGCCTCGGGACACCAGACTCACGACGTCGCCGTCGAAGGCGTGAGAGTGAGGCCGCGCCCCTTGTCCGAGGTCCCCGGTCCGCCCATCTTCCCCTTGATGGGCTCCGTCCCGTTCATGATGA